TTGCTAATGTGTGTGTAAATGCTGCTTTTTGATTATTTCATGAGTTGGGAGAAAGTATAAAAGCCTTTAGATATCAGGCTTTTTAATATCTTAAGCACTTTGAATAAATTTCAGAACAAAATAAAACTTTTAATGGGTGTGGAAAGCATGATGCATCAAAGAGCTGACTGGCACAGCCTGTGACTTCCTGGAGCTTGGTATTCTTAACTGTCAGATTCTAACAAGCGCTTCTCTAGAAAATCGCTTTTATGATTAATCTGTCAAGAAAAAGCCTCCACAGCCATGAAGCACCGCACATAAAAATATCCTTTAATCGCAAACTTTGGGAAATTATGCCCTGTGATTTTAGCAAGGCTGAGTCCCAGTCAGGTGCCTAATTGCTCCCGTTTCCCGGGACAAAGCCAGGTAAAGAACAAGGGCACAGAAGGAGAGGGAAGCAAAGAATTAGTTTCACCCTATGGGCCCTTGTTCCTTTCTTGGCCCGAAAAGCATTTTTAAATTTTTGCAAATCAAAGCGACATAAGCAATGCAAACAGTAAGCTTAATGAAGGTTGTGGGGTGGCCTAAGCTAAAGATGTGAGTCCTGGACAGGGGCTCCACACTTATCTGATGCCTTCTGAAAGCTGGTAGACATTGCATGAGCTGAAATCCAATTGGGCTACTATTGCACAGCAACGTTTGCATGTCCCATCTGATTGGTAGGAAGGTTTGGTAAAGCAATGCTTTACAATCCTAGATCTGTGGTGGGCACATACTGAGGACTTAGGAACTTACATGACTTCAGGAGAGTTAGAGGGACATTGGTAGACAGAACAAGTACGTTGAATCCATAGATGACCAACCAGCACCCACCCGGTCTCAGGCTGACCGTCATATTTACAGACTCACTGACTCAGCTCGAAAACCGGTACTCCCAGGTGTTTTTGTGGTCATGCCTAAACAGGAGACCAGTGGTGATAACTGAAGGACCCAACTCAAGTGTTCCCAGATGAGGCTGAACAAGGCATCTGCTGCCTTGCCCCCACTCTGTCTCTCAAAACAAGCCTCCTCCTCACAGTTTATTTAATGCCTCACTTTCTACTTTTTGTGCTCTTTGGAGTGTGAAGGAGTGCCCAAGCAGAGTGTTTAAGTGCTGTAGGGTGTTCTGAAACTGAAGGCAGCTATAAGTGCCCTTGGAGAGAGTATGTGTATTGTGCAAGCTTCATTCAGACCGAAGCCACAGTGCAGCTGGCTGTGAGTTCCATTGTTCTGTTCTGCCGGCGTGGAAGCCATGATGCCCACCCCCACCAGAGAGGAGGTCTGTGCTAATTCTACAGGTTCAAATGTTACTTCTACCAGAAGTACCCTGGAAGACACTCATAATAATCCAGGAGTCCCGCAGCCCTGTCACACTGTCACACGAGCTTAACCATCGTGTGCAGTGTCAACAGCAACTTTATAGAACACAACTACTGTACTAGTTGATTACATCCCATTTAGTTTCTATGCAAGGTGGTGCATATAATAAATGAACTAACTCTAGAACCTCACATCTTAACACCATAGAAGTTTGGTGTTTATGTCTAAAGTCTTAAGAAGTCTGTGGTAGGCGACCTTTCAGTAGGTGAGTTAGGAACCCATCTCCTGAGCCAATCAAGAAGTCCCGCAGGTCACTCCTGCTTTCTTTCTGTTGACTACATCTCAGTCACGTGGTTCTACCTAACTGCAAAGGATGCTGGGAATGAAGTTGAAGTGTGTGCTGGGGCTTTCATATATACTGCTGTTATAGTTTTTTATTAAAATTATGCCTTTATCATTTTTTCTATAGATAAATAGCAAATCTATTAGGTAAACAGCATTTTTATGCTTTTAGTTATTTTTCCAAAGAACTTTTTTCCCAATTCTTCACCAGGAAAAGCAAGCCTTCATCCTCCTGTGCGTCCTAGTTAATGATGAAGCCCTTATAGATGTCAAGGCCATGCAGTATTCTCTTGTTCTGTTAATATTTCTGCCAACCCTTCCTGCTGAATTTTTTTTTTTTGGTTTTTTCGAGACAGGGTTTCTCTTGTAGCTTTGGAGCCTATCTGGCACTCTCTCTGGAGACCTAGCTGGACTCGAACTCACAGAGATCCTCCTGCCTCTGCCTCCCGAGTGCTGGGATTAACCTGCTGAAATTTTTTATTGGAAATATTTTTGAAATCGAGTAAAAATTTACATAAAAATATATCTGATCTATGGTCAGGGGTATCTTACCCTGCACTCTTGCAGGTGCTAATCTATGAGTAGAACACAGCACTCAGCCTGAAGAATGCCACTGTGCCCAACCTATTGTAGGTGCTAGACATGAATGGAACACAGCACTCAGCCTGCAGAACACCAGCAGTGTCTGACCCTGCACAGTTGGAGGTGCTAGACCATGAATGGAACAGTGCCACTGCCTTGACTCTTCTCCCACTGTCTAATGTCCTCCATGACAGGCTGACTTTTACTGTGGCTTTATTATGTGGACTCTGATGAGTGACCTCAGTCCTTTTGTTGTTTTACTATCAAGGAAAGAGTCAGTAATGGTAACTGTCAAGCCCATTGTTTAAGGGAAAGTATCAGCTCATGCACCAGGAAAGCTATAAAAGGCATACTTGGATATATATGCATTTTGTAACACATTTATACTTCATTGCCATTCTGGAGGGTTCTTAACCTTGCTGAAGAGAAAGAAGCAAGTGACACATGATAAGACATTCCAGGCTTAAATGTGTGCCTAAAAGAATTGACAGTAAGGTTGTGTGTGTGTGTGTGTGTGTGTGTGTGTGTGTGTGTGTCTGTGTGTCTGTGTGGCTGTGTGTCTGTGTGTCTGTGTGTGTGCCTGTGTGTGTGGTAGTGAGTGTGTGCCATGACACATGTGCGAAGGTCAGAGAACAACTTGTGGGAGTTGGTCCCAGTAATTGAAATCAGACTTGGTGGCAGTCACTTTCTCCCACTAGGCTGTCTCACCAGCCCTGAAAGCAGCCTTACGGAGGTATTTGTGCACCGGTGCTTACAGCAGCATTTTTTTCACAAGGCATGCTTACAGGGGAAGCAACCCAGCTGTCCCCTGGGACATGAATGACTAAACAGAAGGCGGTATAGACATATAGTGCAATAACCAGGAAACCATTTCTGGTACATGCTGAGACATAGGAAAAGTTGTGCTAAGTGAAATGTCAGAGCCAGAGAGATGGCTATTGCATGGTTCAACCTAAGAATACAGACTACGTAGCATATAGGTTTCCAGAGGCCTCAGACTGTGTGAGGGGACACTGCTCATTGGGTACAGTGTTCTGTTTGGTATGATAGAAATGTTTGGGGTTGGATAGTAGTCGTGCTTGCACAGCCTTGTCTGTTTTGCTTAATGGCAGAGAAATATCAAATACTTAAAGTAGTTCAAATGAAAAAATTTATATTACATTCTTCGGCAATAACTAAAAGTCACATTGGAAAGAGATTGGGTTTGAGCCACTGAGCTGGGCCTGGGTCTACCTATTACTAAGTGTGTGTCTGGGGCAAAAGCTTCATTACCCTGAATGTCCTTTTGCATACTGTGGGAGCAAATGAAGTCCCGAGTAAATTGTGTAGTTGACATGAGCATGGCCATGGCAAGGACCTCAATGCATCAGGCCCACGGGAATGGCAGAACCTTCCTCTGGACCTGGTGTCAATGGTTTAGCCAAAGCCAGTGTGTGCAGAAACTACCAACCACAGCCTTTTCTTCTCAGATGGATCACTGCCTCCCGAGACTGCCCCCTTATAGAGAACTCTGCTAAGATCAGCTTAACCAGCCTCCTCATTCAGTTGTACACAAGAAGCCTGCTTCCTCAATCAGTGATAAATAATAAGTGCCCCGAGTTTCCAGTTCCCGGTGATACATCTCCATCAGGGAATATGGTTCACCTGATCCCAGCTTTTTTTGTACCCGTGTCTGTCCCTTTTTCATTTCCTCATCACCGCAGTCAGGGGAAGTTCAAAGCCATGCAGGTTTTGGGATACACCTATAAAAACAAGGGCAGTCCTGCTTTTGTGAAGGGTTATTGTGGGAAAGTGATTAGCTTGTCTCATAATCTGCACCATATAAAGGGAAAGAAAAATACCTGTGGTTGCAATGTTACAGTATGTTGCATAGTTGTTTTTTGCCTCTGTAGTACTGAAGTTGTACACACACACACACACACACACACACACTCTTATGTGGGGTTGTAGAGAATAAATACATAAATAAATGTCTCTAGAGATCAGACATCTTATAATATTAACCATTTAAAACAGAAATGTATTTGTAGAACCTTGCCAAAAGCTCTGTGTGTCACAAGAAATGTGGCTTGTCTGTCTGCACCCAGACAGCTACGTAAAAATGGCAATAAGGGAACAGCAAGGAAAGAGATAGCTGACAGACTTGAGAGAGGCCGGAAGATGTGAATACCCTTCGTGAGTGTTGCTTAAGGCCAGCATCCTTTGTGAGGCTGAATGTGACATGGAGGAAAGGTCAAATGTCATTCTGACTGTTTACTGTCAATCTGATTATGCAGAACACATCAAAAATGATAAAACTGCAGGAAATTGGTAATGATGTAGGAGTCAGTCATTGGAAAATCACTTTAGAATGAGAGGTGTGTGTGTGTGTGTGTGTGTGTGTGTGTGTGTGTGTGTGTGTGTGTGCGCGCGTGCGTGTTTAGATATTAACTTTCTGTGGAGATTCAAGAGTAAATTCCATCAGTTTTATCACCAAATTAGAATCTATCTGCTTTTCTCACTGCCACACGCAGCCCAGGCAGGCCTCCCAATAAGTGCTCAGCTACTGAATGAACAATCAGATGAACTAAGGGAACTAGGGGAAAATGGAGCTATCTACAAACGTGTGTGTGTCAACAAGACCTGCATTAACTGTGTGCCAAAGATACTGACTTGAAAACAATCTCTTTTTTCTTTTGCAGACCAGAAACTACTCTCTTGGGACCATTCAGAAGCCAGAGACACCAACACCGTGACATATGCCGGTGCCACCGCCGCCACCACCTCCTCCTCTGCCGCCACCTCCTCCACCTGTGGGGGCTCCTCCCCCTCCACCCCCACCAGGGCCCCCGGTAAGGCCTGTCTGATTTCCCTGTGTTTCTCTGTGGAGCTCCTGCCTTTGAGTGATCTTGAACAGGAGCTTGGTGCTGGGATGCAGGTGATGCAGGCCCCCAGGTGGCAAGCGCACCCTAGGATTCTGACTCTGGCTGTGTTGGGGTCTAATCAGTCTGGACTAAATGATTCTCTCCCCACACACCCCATTTTCACTTTACTTCAGTCTCCATGCTTTTCCCCCTCAGACCCCACCCACCACAAGCTGCAGGCTTTCCCAGTCTCCCTAAGTGACTTTCCATCTCACTGGACACTGGTGAAGGCCTCCTGCTGAAGTCAGGCCCATAAGACACCGAGAAGTCAAGTTGTATGTGCGGTGTCATGCAGAAGGTGGGGATGATACCCTGGCTTCCGTCCCCCGCCCCCCTCCATTCTAAGTCCAGCAAGTTACATGTTGGGTTGAAAGCTCCAGGGAAATGGGACTCACCCACAGAAGTTTCCTGTGTCTGAAGCAATGAAGCTAGTCTACTTCTATCCAGGCCATATACTTTCAGTTTAATCATTTGATTTATGTTAGAAGAGGGCCACAGGGAGGGGCTGTTCTGTTCTGGAACAGAAATTCAACCTCAGCACCACTGACACTGAGACAGACTAACTGGGGTAGGGAGTTGCTCGGCTGTATATTTTAGGATGCTGTTTAACAAGATCCTCAGCCTCTGCCTATGCAATGCCGGTAACACCCCTCAAGTGTGTAAAAAAATATCCTCAGATACTGCCTGGTGGAGGAAAAATATAGACAGAATAGAAATAAGTATTGAAGTTTCACTGCTGAACTTGACCCCACACGCTTAAATTCAAGGTCATCACTGCGTGGTGATGAAGTTTGTAAATACAGAAAACAAGTGGGAAACTATCCATGGATCCTAGATAAGATAAGAAATGATCCACCTATATCTAGAAAACATGGTCCATCTACTTGTTTGACATGGGAGGTTTTAGAATTGGCCAGAGTGTTGGAATCAAGTCTTGGAACTCTTTTTATTTTTTCTTTTTTTTTTCTGATTTTTCAAGAGAGGGTTTCTCTGTGTAGCACTTGCTCTATAGACCAGGCTGGCCTTGAACTCACAGAGATCTGCCTGTCTCTGCCTCCCAAGTGCTGTGAATAAAGGTATGCACCACCATTACCCAGCTCAGGTATTGGAACTTTTAATGAGTTCCAAAATTATGTTTTCCTAGGAGACAATTTTGTGGTATCGATCAGTTTAAAAAATGAATGTATTTTGTGATCTAGACAATATTTCTTCAGGACATTAATCATGGGAGCTAGTGAGGATGGAAGACACAAGGAAACACAAAGTCGCCCTTGACACAACAGAACTGATGTGCACATGGACCCACAGAGACTATGGTGGTATGCACAGATCTGTCAGATGGGGTCCCAGCACTGAGAGGGAAAGAAGACGCAGGCCCATATTTCTAACCTGTGAGTTATCTCCAGCTGATAACAGCTCACAGAGGAAAACTTAGTTTTCTCCAATGGAGTCTCACTGGGCATACAAACCACAATTAGGGCAGGCCCCATGCCCAGCAGTAGATGCCAACACAACAAACTCAGAGGTATTTTGGGAGTGTTTTTGTTACACAGTTCTTTGTCTGAACATTTTTTTTAACCTTATAGATATTTTGCTTATGTATCATGGCTTCTGATTTTGTTTTTATAGGTTTTCTGTGTGTGTAAATGTGTATGTGTTTCTTGCATATTTCCTTTGGTTTTTTTCTGTTTGCTTTTTGTTTTTTCCTATTCTGTTTTATTTTTTTGAATATTGTTTTTTAGTTACCTATTTGTATTTTAATAATTGAGAGAGAAAGTGTGTGGCTTTGGGTGGGTGGGTGGGAGAGTGGAGAGGATCTGGAAGGAGTTGGAGAAGGGGAAATGTAATCAGAATATATTGTGTGAAAAAAATCTATTTTCAATTAAAAGATAAAATATATACTAAAATTGTGAAAATAATAAGCATTTCTGATATTCTGAAAGAAGAATACATAGCTATATGACATTAATAATTAGATTACTTGTAATGGTAACCAAAAAAGAAATTAATTTTTTAATTACAGGAGAGTCAAAAATTGTTTCCCAGTACACAAAACAGCATGCTAGATCTTCATTAAAAATCACACACCAATTAGTATATAATTTCCAAAGTACAATTGATTCAGGAAGATTACCCAGTAAAGCTGTAGGCACCAAGTTCAAAGTTGTTGGGGGACAGCAAGATGACCCAGGGGGTAAATGCATTTGTAGGGCAAGCCTCAGTGTGGTCCTTAAAATCCACAAAATGGCAGAATGAGAGAACTGACTCCCCAAAGCTGTTCCCTTATCTACTCTCTCTCTCTCTCTCCCTCTCTCTCTCACACACACAAAGAGAGAGAGAGAGAGGGAGAGAGAGAGAGGGAGGGAGAGAGAGGGAGGGAGGGAGAGAGAGAGAGAGAGAGAGAGAGAGAGAGAGAGAGAGAGAGAGAGAGAGAGAAGAATAAATGAGTTTTGAGTTGATGGGGGAAAGGATGCTGTTGAGATTCTAAGCGTCTCACAGATTCCATCTCTTTTCTTCCATGTCGGGGATCAACCCATGGCCCACTCTTGGTGAACTGTGCCTGTGCTACAGAGCAGCACCCCACACAGCCCTTTCTTACCTACAGATCACATAGGGAACTATGCCTCTAAAATGCATCTCCTCTAGGATGACCTTATATCACAAGCCATCCGCTATCACACAGCGAGAAGCACCACCATAATCTGCCTAGGCAAGCATGTGTGTACATCTACAATATGGGCAGCGCTGTATACAGAGAGCTTGGCAAGCTGCAACCAAGGTGCTTTCCAGCCAAATAGCTGGGGTGAAGAATGGAAAGAGAAATATTTCATGATACATAAAAAAAAATGACATGAAATTCAAGTTTTAATCCATAAAGTCCACTGGAGCACAAACACGCCCATTCATTTGCATATCATTAGTGCCTGTGTTCCTGCTATATCACTGGCATAGCAACCAAAGAAAATGTTGTTTCACCAAAAGGAACTCCCTTCTCACTCCTGGACCTGTATTTTAATAATTGATTTATTCCTTATTGCTATATTCTTAATTTGAGAAATAAATATTTTATGGAAATCATTTCTCTTTTGCTAAAGTCACAGAGGCTACCTTTCATTTGGCCCCTTAGCCTATAATCCCTGGAATATTACTGTCTGGCCCCTTCCAGGGACAAGTTACTAATACCTGCCCTGTAGCCAGCTGGCCTTGTTCAGCCTCCTGTGTCTCTCCAGCCACCAGTGATCTCAGCATACTTACATCATGTGTTGTTCTCCCCTGCTTTCCCTCTCAGCGACTTCCCATGGTCTTTGACAACCTGGGGCTTGCCTCCCTCTCCAGCTCCCCCTGAGCCCCACTCCCAGGGTACTCCCCACCATGGCCTTTATATAGCTGTTCCTTCTGTCTGGTAGGAACGTTCTACTAAAATCAAAGTAGAGGTCCAGTCCACTGACCCCACTAGTTTCTGTACTTATTTTCAAAGCCCTGCTTTAGAGCAGTAATTGTTTTTAACTATATTTTTATTTCATTAGTGTTTACAATTATTTAATCCTGTGTTTTTTGTGTCTGGCTTGAAATAGACATTCAGCTTATGAAGGAAGGAAAGGGAGAATTGTAGAGAGGAATGGAGGAAGGGAAAGTGAATGTGAGAGGAGAGAAGAAAGGAAGGAAAGAAGAGGAAGAATGAATGAATGAATGAATGAATGAATGAATGAATGAGACAGGAAATTGCAACTAGGGTTTCTCTCCCACCCACCAGTTCCTGAATTACCACTCAGAAGCCTAACTACAAACTGTTTGACCTATTAGCTCAGGCTTATTATTAACTAGCTCTTACAACTTAAAACAACCAATTTCTATTATTCTGTATTTCACCATGAGGCTCGTGGCTTTTTACCTCACATCTTGCTTCTCCGACAGCTGCTGGCATCTCTCTGACCTGCCTTCTTTTTTCCTGTATTCAGTCTGGCTTTCCCACCTAGCTATATTCTGCCCTGTCATAGGCTGAAACAGCTTCTTTATTTAACCAATGGTGATAAAACATATTCACAGCATACAGAGAGGCAGCTCACATCAGGAAATCAGTGACTATATGAGTAAACACAGTTGAGAAACAGAGCTAAAGTTTTCATAACTAGTGGTTAGGGCTTTAAGCATTTGTTAAAGTCCAATAAACAAGACATTATTCAGGACCCCAGGGACCATGGGAAGTGAGACTAGACTCAACTCTAAACACAGCCTGGACAATGGGAGTTTGTAGTCAAGAACCTGAAAAGATGGGCAGTGGATGAAGAAGTACTGAGAGGAAACCTGGGGGGTGGGGCGGTCAGTGAGACTCTGGATAAATCCATCTGTTTGTTGAAGTAACCTGGAACCTATGTGTGCTTTACTAGTTAGGGACATCTCCAGCCAGCAAAAGACAACAGGCATGGTAGAGTTTATGATCCTGATCAGAACCAAAACAACCAGATAGCTAGAGTTCAGGGTTCTGTCCCCTCCTTGCTGTTTGTCAAGTCATTTCATTTGGAAACTCAGTGATATCATTTTTCTCCTGTGGACTAAGGACTGCATGATTCATGGGCCAAGTAGTCATCTCAGAGTTGATGACTCTTACCCGGGGAGATTTTCCTGCCATCTCTGGCGTGCAAGGGCTTCTGATAAGAAAAGCAGGATAGAAAATGCACTGTTCTCTGAAGTCCCCTGAGATACCCTGGAGTCTTATGTTTGATGCTATTGGGGAAGAAGTGGGGGTAGGAGAGCCTGGTGAAAGGAACCTCGGTAGAGCTGCGTATTATATATGCTCTCAAAAGGGTAATTTGCATGTTCACTGGCGCATTTGCAATAATGAAAGGCTCACAGAGTCTTAAATACTGTCACTCAAGTGTGTTCTCTTGACATGCTAGTGTTTTGATTGGTGCTGCGAACAGGGGACT